GCGCGACGCCCGCCGCCTCCCCCCGTCCCTTTCCTCACACGACCGCGGCTTTATTTTTAAATCCCCTTTAAGTCGGTTTTTCCGTCTTTTTGCACAGGTCCGCGTCGCTCCAAACGCTTCAGCCCGTGTTTTGCACTTTTAAACCCGCTTTTAAACATTTCAACCCGGCTTTTTTCTAATGTTTCCGTCGCTTTTTACACCTTTCCGTCCTTTTGCACAGGTTCGCGTCGATCCTGGAAACGCCTCAGCCCGTGTTTTGCATTTTTAAATCCGCTTTCAAACATTTCAACCCGGCTTTTTTTAACGTTTCCGTCCCTTTTTTACACGTTCAGGTCTCTCTTTTAAACGGTCGCCTCCGCGAAATGTTTTGATCCACCTATGAAATGTTTCAGCCTGTGTTTTAAACGTTTAAAGCCATTTTTAAACCTGTCTCTCCGGTTTTTTTTTTAATGTTTCGGTACTTTTTAACGTCTCAGTCCTTTTTTCAATGTTCGCATCTGTCCCTTAAACGTTTCGATCCGCCATTTAGATGCTTCAGCCCGCGTTTTACATTTTAAAATCCATTTTTAAACATTTCAATCCATTTTTATGTGTCAGTGCTTTTTCTGTGTTTCAGTCTGTTTTTAAATGTTCGCATCCGTCTTTCAAACCCTTCCATCCGCTTTTTAAACGTTTCGGTCTGTGTTTTACATTTTTAAATCCGCTTTTAAACATTTCGACCAGATGTTTTAAAGGTTTCGATACTTTTTTACATGTTTCAATCCATCTTTTAAACCTTCGCGTCTGTCGTAGATGTTCAAGTCCGCCTTTTCAGTGTTGCAGTCTTGTTTTTTTTTAATGTTTCCAAAAAACGTTGCAGTCTGTTTTGCAAACATTTCAATGAGTTTTTGGCTGGATTTGAACCTCTTATTTTGGAGCTGGGTTGCGGTGCCTTCATTTGGAACCAGGACAGAAGCTGCTTTATTTTGTCAAGGGGAAGCAGGTAAATACATTAATGCAATTTACTGCAGTGCTTGGCTGTGAAGTCTCACGTTATTCTTCCTCTAACTCAGTGTTCCTTAACCTCAGCAACTTTAAGATGTGTGGACTTCAACTCCCAGAATTCCCCAGCCAGCATGGCTGGCTGGGGAATTCTG